AGGAAGGAAGGAAGGAAGGAAGGAAAGAAGGAAGGAAGGAAGGAAGGAAGGAAAGAAGGAAGGAAGGAAGGAAGGAAGGAGATTGTAATGAGAGTGAGGAAAGGTTTGAGGGAAGTCCTATCTGCATCTGATCACCACAGGTGCCCCATCAATTCGTAAAGCATTCCTGGCCTGCTCTTGAATTCATGAATTAATTAGGGCAGTGATAGTTAAACTTTTTGTTCTTGTGTGCTGAAAGTGCATGCACGTGCACGAGCCCACAATATAATGTGCAGGCCCCGCCCCATGCGCATGTGACCCGTCCCCCCGCATCCAGTTTTGGGCCTAGCAGGCCTCCCTGAAGCCTCCTGGGACCAAAAAAGGGGGCACCCCCCCCTGCATGCCTAAGCTGTTACAGGTGTTATATGTCGGCCTTGTGTACAGATTTATTCCCCTCTAGCATTCATCTCCATTGTTCAGTGATGCATTTCCTGCCTCTCTAGGATTTATGTCTATCTGCTCCTATGAGACACTTCCTCTTCCTGTTAGATGTATATATTATATTCTCGATGGCTTGTATAGTGTTTTGCAGGGACCCGAAAATTAGCTGGCCGGTGCGCGCATGCTTGGTGGAGCTCAGCTGAGCAACGGCTCGCGTGCTGGCAGAGAGGCCTCCGTGTGCCACCCGTGGCACGCGTGCCATAGGTTCGCCATCACAGAATTATGGCATCCGTCAGAACCCTGACACCCCCGACACAAGTGATGTTAAGCTGGCCACCCCCCATGCTCCCCCGGAGTCAAATACAACTCTCATGCAGCCCTCAATGAAATTGAGTTTGACACCCCTGGAAGACAAAGATTGAAAGAACTCCTGACCGCAGCTGAGCCTAGACACATGACATCATAATAAAAACTGTAGATACAAGGAAACGAGGTTCCACCTGCAATCGTGAATTTTGAGAAAATCTTACTTTTCGGGCAAGACGGAGGTGGGCACACCCCCTAAATAATAAGAGGTGGCCCCCTGCAGAATGTTTTCTTGTTCAATCATGAAGATGGTCGATTGCTCCAGACGGACCAAAACGCGATCCTTGGTACCCATTTTGATGAGAAACAGCTGGATCTGGAATTAGACCAAGCAGAAATGTCCATGGAACTGCTCACTCACGAAAGAGGTGGTTTCACTCAAGACCTTCTTCTCAAAGTATCCGCAACCTAAACTAAGGAGACCAGCGCACTCTTAGAAGAGAGTGAAGAGAAGAGCAAGAAAGACGATTAGGAGACTGGGGGCTAAAACATATGAAGAACGGTTGCTGGAATTGGATATGTCTACTTTAATGAAAAGAAGTACTGGGGTGACATGATAGCAGTCTTCCAATATCTAAGGGGCTGACGCAAAGAAGAGGGGGGGAGTCAAACCTATTCTACATAGCTCGATTCAGTGGATTGGAACTGGATGTTGTGGCCCGCCAGTGGCCAGTGGAGCTGGTGGCAGACTCAGACAGTGAGGAATTTGGGGAGGAACATAGGCCAGTCCTGGAATCTGGGGGAGGCTCTGACGAGTGCTCTGCTTTGAAGGCAGAGAGAGGGCCAGGGCCATCCAACAATTATCAGCTGCCTTCAGTCAGAGATCAGTGGGGCAGAAGAACAGCTGCAGCCTGTTCCTGATGTGCCCATGTGCAGAGCTTCCAGGAGAAGGGGACAGCCAAGGAACAAGGGACGACTCGGGAGTAAAGGCACAGGTGGATGGTGAATGGCCCCTCCCAGAGGGAATAAAGAAGAGCGAAAGGGGAGGGGAGTTTGTAGGAGACAATTAGTTCAATTCATTAGGGTGAAGATCTGTTCCTGACTTCTTGCCAAGTAGTTGCTGCTACAGCGTGGCGTTTGGAAGATATCGGCCTGGCAGCTCTCCAAGCCTGATAAAGGTCTGTAGTTGTGAAATCTCATGAAAGACTNTCTTCAAAGAAAAAGCAGAAAGTCCAGTTGCCTCTTGAAAAAACACATTTGGGATAATCCTGTGGAAAGGAACAAGATTAGTTTTGGTGAAGCAGGGCAGTCCACGAGTCCTTCCTTTAGTCAAAAATAAAGTGTTACTATAGAAAACATTTTGTATTAGGGGCAATATTTCTTCCAAAGACCAAATGTTAAAAATCGTTTATTCGCCCCAATAGACAGCAACACCCAGCTTACTTTGGCTGATACTATAAAGATAAACAGTGTATGCCTAAATGGATACTTGGATGAAGTCCCAGGCTGTGAATTTTGCAAACTAATCAACTAAACTGATCTTTTCTTTGTTGTCAGTCATTTCATTTTTACTAACAAATATACTGTATCGTTTTTGACAGGACTGCCCAAGGAGCTAAGGAGAAGATGTAATGTCACCTTGCAGACGTCACAACATGTTGGATTGAAAGAAATAAAAAAAATGGATATTTCAATTTGAAAAAGGATTCTCACGCACAGATTCGCAATTGCAAACAGCCATGTCCAAAAAAGGACGCAGCAAGGCTGAAAAGCCTGAAGTACTGATTATGTCCTTACAAGCAGCCAATGAAGATCTCAGGACTAAGCTGACGGATATTCAAATTGAGCTTCATCAAGAGAAGTCTAAAGTGAGTAATGCACTGGTGCCAGGGGATTTAAATAGTGGTTGCATGGCAAATTATAAATTAAAGTTTCCGCACTTAATTCTGGAAGAGCGGAAGAATACTTGAAAAATACATTTTATTTATTGTTGACCTTTGCCAGAGAAAACATAAAAGGGAACCCAATCAATGAATTACAGCTGAGTCAACACTTGTCTCCAGAGCATTCTTGTTTTCAACCTATTGTCATTTTACTGTGGCTCAGTACAGAAAGATTTCTGTCTAAACTTGGAAGATTTTTTTAAAGATTCAAAATGGAATGGAATGTTTTTGTTACCTGTTTGGTGTGGGTGGGGAGGGATCATACAAAGGATCATACAAAACAAAAATGTGGGTGGGGAAACACATCTCCTATAAGGAACAAGTAGGAAAATTGTATTAAGTACACATATACTATAAGCAGCACTTCCTCATAGTTCCTAGGAAAACCAAAATATGGGATTCTTGATGTTCTCTGAGCTTGGTTGTTTTCTTGCAGACATTTCATTACCAGCCTGAGTAACATCATCAATGCAAGGGTAAATAGAGTTTGTTTATATTTAGCAGTCTTGGTTGGAGAGTGGTTAGGCAGTGGTTTTTTCTGTGATGGTTCCTTAATCAGGAACACTTTGCATACCTGCTTTTTAACATCTCTGTTTGCAGAAAAAGTGTTCAAATGTTTCTTGTAGTCATTTAATATATATTTTTCTGTTTGTACTTTAGGAGTTTTTTCCCCATTTTTCCTTACAGAACTCTTCTAGCTCAGAAGTATGTTTAAAGATCCTTGATTGTGCTATGTATAGGAACCTCTCCATAGGTTTTCAGATTGTTGTCTTACTTTTAGTTTTAATTTCTTCACTGATTGAGTTTCTAGATATTGATATTTGATTGGACCATGCCTTCTTACATCTGCACCAGAGGTGGGCTGCTCCTGGTTTGGTCCAGTTTGGCCTAACCGGTAGTGGTGACGGCAGGAGGCTCCGCCCACCTGCCTGGATGCTTCTGCACATGTGCAGAAGC